CAATGTAGATGCCTTCCAACCAGTCAGTTTCTTGTAAAGCTTTTGTATAACATGATCCCATAAAGATGTCGAGTTCCTCTTCGTTCCAAAAGGTAAACCCAAATAATTCGTTGGAAAGGAACCCACTGAACACCCGATTGTAGTAGCCCACTCTATGAGAACGTATTCATTTACAATCATTCCATACATCCTACTCTTGGATAGATTTAATTGCAAACCAAACATCAACTCAAATACCAAAAGAAATTCACTCACATTTTTCAACTCTCCAATCAAAACGTTGCAAAAAATCAATAGATTGTTGGAAAATTGTAGGTGAGAGCACACACACGAATTTCCCTGATTTCCAATCACAAAACCACTAAACAGACTTACATTCACAACTTTTAACAATATCAAACTCAATAATTCATCCACCAAGTTGAAAAGAAGAGGAGAAAATGAGCAACCCTGTCGAAGACCCCTAGCAATCCGAAACTCTTCCGAAAAAGAACCATTCACTAAAACAAAATTAAAGCCGAAGACAAACACATTTTAACCCAAGATCTCCACCTCTACCCAAAACCCATACATTTCATGATTTTCTTTAATAAATTCCAATCAATTGAGTCAAAAACTCTCTTATAATAACCCATGAAAACAATCCCTTTATGATAATTTATTCTCCAACAATCAATCCCCTCATTCGCGATGAGCGAACAATTCATAATATGCCTCCTCGAAATAAAGGCGGATTGGGATTGGCCAACTACCGAAACCATACAAAATCTTAATCTCTTTGATAAAACCTTCAAAAAATCTTATAAATCCCACCAACTAGGTTGATATGCCTAAAATCCTCAATGCTTTTCGAGATAGACATTTTTGGAATAAAAGTTATGAAAGAGTGATTAACCCCCTTTTCCCCTATTTTATGCCCATAAAATTCACTGAAAACATCATAATTTCTAATTTTAAATTCGGCCAAATTTTTTTTAAAACCCATACTCAATCCATCCGACCTCGAGGCCTTATTTTTCTCAAAAGACGATATAGCATCCCAAACTTCTTCCTCCAAAAATGGTCTCTCCAGAAAATAATTATGCTCCACCGAGATCTTGGAGAAATTCAAATCCATTTCCTCTACCTCAACTGTAGGGTTCTTGGTATAGGTTTCTTTAAAAAATTTACTATACATGATTTGATTACTTTAAGATCTATCGTTAAATGTCTATCCACTTCTAGCACTTTAATAATATTAACCCTGCCATTATTTGCTGTACACTTGTGAAAAAATCTAGTGTTTTGGTCACCCTCCGAAAACCATTTCACTTGAGATTTCTGCAACCAAACCTATTCCTTCTTTTCGTATAGATCCAAAAGCTTTTTCCTTGCCTTTCCCAATGATTCCATAGAGACAGAAGAGGACCCCTGTTGCAACTCAAGTTCCATATCACGTATAGATTTTCAGCTCCAAAATGGATCGTTGCATTTTGAGAAAACTTTCTTTAGACCACGTTTTAATTGCCACTTTTAAACATTTTAGAATACTGAAAATCCTTTTCCTACTCTTGCCTATCCTTGCTTTCTAAAATTCCTCCACCATCATCTCTTTGAAACTCTCCTCCTTCAACAAATAATTGAACATCCTAAATGGCTTCGTCTGCCTCACTATTTTATAGGATGATTGCATTGTGATCCAATAGAGATCTCAGAAGCATACTCTGATTTAGTGACAAAAACACTAATAAGAAGTTCGAATCTATAAAAAAATCTGAAGTTTCCATGTTATTGCACCAAGTAAAATTGCCACCCGACAAAGGAAGATAATTCAGATTTTCCCAATGCACAAACTCATTAAAGATTCTCGTGGATAACTTGTTATGTGTCCCCCCATCTTCTCCTCTTGTGAAAGGTATGCATTAAAATCACCACCCAAACAAATGGGACGGTTGAGTTACAACACGAAAGATAAAAATTCCTAAAAAAAAGATTTTCCAAATCAACTGGAGGACCATACACATTGACAAATAACATTTTACTAACGATTCTTTTAAATTACCTTTGACTATAATAAACCTCTCTTGAACAAATTCAGACTCTACCTCCAACTGGTTTTTGTCCCATAATGTTATTAAGGCACCTGCCAACCCAACTACAGGGAATGCCACACACCCTCTCAACCTCCTTAGTAATGAAGAATTGATAGCCTATACCTTCGATTCTTGAATAAACATCAACAATGGTTTATTTCCTCTAATAAAATTCCTCACTACCTTGCCTTTTCCCTTCTTCCCAAACCCCTCACATTCCAAGATAAAATAAAGATACTTGACATTGAAAATAATAAAATACCCTACCACCCAAGGGAGATCAATTCTTACCCCCTTCCTCCTCACTTTCATCACTAATTATGCCTTCTTCATAAAGGCTTTTTTACATCTCGAAAGGTAACACCCATCAAATTACGAACGTCCCAGCTAGCCCAAACTTTTTTATCGCCCTCTGAATATTGACTTGGAGTCTTCAAACTATCCCACTTCTTCTCTCCTGAGTTCCCCTTCCTCTACTCTTCTATATAATCTATCAAAGGATTTTTACCCATCTCTTCCCCCTGAAACGCTCATTTCTAAAGTACGACCATGAACTGGAGAAACACAAGTTCCCTAAAAAGAGGACTGAGATGGAGATCGAACCCAAAATTCACCCCTTCTAATATTTCTATTTTGAGAACCATCAGAACCACTTATATGATTTCCATTTATTCTTAGAAACTCCAACGAACTGGATCTCCTACGAGGACATGAAAGAAAAAAACCACCTTCGTTGTGACTTGGATCCTGCAAAGACTCCATATTTTTCCTAGCAGAATTAGGCATATTTGACCCACTTGTATTTTCCATATCCAACCCATTATCTACTCCATTTTCACCTAACAAGTTATGATGCATGGGGAATAAACAATCATCCTATCTCTCTCTATTATCCCTCAAAGAATTAAATTGTCTCGTGTCAACTTTGTCATTAACTCTAGATATGATAACAACCTTGTCACCTATCGAAAGCTCTTGAACCCAAGTCTCCACTTTCTCATGTGCCAGCATGCCTGACTTTTGGAATTCCTGATCCCTGTAGGCCCTTCTTTCATCAGACTGGTTCTCCAAGATCTATCCTCCCAATCATCAGAAGACTCACCCTCACTCTCTACATTTAAAATCTCAGGAACCTATCTTTTTTTAACTCTACTTTCACCTTAATCACATAAAACCTCCCCTTTGTGTTGATGGAAATCAATTTAGGAAAATTAAAAGGACTTGTCACCCTTATAATCATCTGAGCTACTCTGTAATCAATCTTCAATAATGTTTCCTTCTTAATCTCCACTAACTCCCCCCATCTTGAAGCTAGATTGGAGAAGAAAACTTCATTCCAACAGTTTAGAGGCACACCAAATAAAGGCATTTCTCAAAACACTAAAGGATTATCCCAATCCAAGAAAACAAGCATCAACCAATTGAACCAGAAATTAATATCCAAAGCTTTCTCTTCTAGAGCTTTCATCTTCTTATATTTCTTCAAAAAAAAACTAAACATGCGTTTATGGCATAACCCCAACTCGCCACTTTTGCATTTAAACCATCATTGTGTAATGCTTTCTGAATTACTTCCACATCGTAGGGTTGTTTATGAATACAAGTCAAAGACCTCTCTATCCATCATCAATCCTCCACAGGGATGAAGACATATAAAGGCTTCTTCATTACAACCCCACCATTCATCATTCTATTATGAGCACCTATCGATAACCTTCTATTCCCCACCAGCTTATTGCGATACGACCTCCCATCATGGAACTTGTCAAACAACGTAACTTTACCTTCAAAGCTATTTGTTTGAGGCTCAACCCATTTCTTAACCTCTTTACCTTCTGAACCAGTCAGATTCTTCCTGCTTACCGATTTTTGATACTTCGCCACCCTGACCGAAACTCTCTTCCCATCGATCATCACATTATCAACCTTTACTACTGCTTGCATAAGATCCTCCTGACTCTCAAAAGTGAACGAAAGAAAAAGTTGAATCTATGTACTTCGGTCTCTTGTTAACCATGGGAATACAAACCTTAACAACCTTGCCATGAAGATTGAAGCGCTCCCACAAAGCTCTCCTAGTGACTCTTCTACTCAAATTATCAACAAAAGCAAACCAAGGGGCTCTAGTAGGGAGAGAACCTTGCCCTGACTTTTTGTTTTCCATTTTTTTATTGCCCACCTTGAATAAAAAAAAACTAAAACTAGATCAGACCAGATTAGAACACGCGTGATACACCTACTGTGCATGTATGTTTAGATTACAAGTTTGCTATGGAAGAAAGTAAAACCCTAAACAAAAATAGCTAAAATCATTCTTCCACAAAACCTGTATTGATCCATGTTTATGTCATGAATTCAAACTTTTTTGAATAAAAGGAAGATGCATGTTGCTATCAATCTTTTGATTGCCCCTTTCATTTGAAGCACTTACGAGTTCAAGTGCGAGTTTCTTTGCTGGTACTGGGATTAATGCATGATTTTATGTTAAGGGAGGTGAATTTAATTTCATATTTGGGGATGACAAGAAGACTGACTAATTAAATGCTAGAATTTGATTTCATACTTTGTATGAATCTTTCAATAGTTTTACCACTCAGCTAACCAACTGCAGAAAAGGTTGCAGCAAGGCACTAGTAATGAATATGAGAGGCAACAAGAAAAAGGAATGACGTATGAAAAAAATAAGTTGTTGTTTCAGTCTTTGTTTTTCATTTAGTTGTTGTTTCAGTCTTTGTTTTTCATTTTGTTGTTGTTTCAGTCTTTGTTTTTCATTTAGTTTTAGTTTCAGTTTCAGTGTATGGCATTCATTATTTTGTCTTGTTGAATATGATATCCATTATCCTCCCACCGCAGCCATGCATGTCAACAACTATTGAGTACTTTAACTGCATGTATTATCCAAGATTGTACTTAACATTATGCAAACGTTTCCACCACCCAAGGAAAGAGTTGATTGATTATCAAAATATCAAACAATCCTCACAATGCACTAAACATTACCAAAGTTGAAACTAACCCATCTTCTGATCTAAGCACTTGCACTTGTTAATTCTTTGGCTGTGGTCTCTATCACCTTTTTCTGTGGCTGCAGGCACCCATAAAATGGTTAAGCTCTAACATTATTTTTCAAAATCAATGAAAATACATTACTAATTGAATTTATGTTACACAAGAATCATCGTCAAAATATGAAAAATATTGAAAACTAAAAAAAACGATTCCTATAACAGTTCACCGAAGGACAAATTGACCAGTCTCGATGTTCACTGAGGTACTGATCACCATGCTTTAGTTTTACCTATTTGCTAATTTTCCACCAAATAAGAATCTGCTTTTTTGCAACTACGTTTGCTGAAGCAAAAAGGGATATGTTTACAGCATGTGCAGGTGGAAAAAGTGAATCCTAAGTTATGGATGTCTGTTAATTAATGAAGATGTTTATTATGAAGGTCCAGGACAATTGGACTATTGGGATTCAGGAGGACAAGTGACTAACAATGCTAAACGAATCAGAGGCCCCCGATTTTGTAAAATTGTTGCAATGGAAATTAAGAAATGACCCACACACCATTAACACCAAAAGCAAAAGCTTAAAATAAACGAACTACGACTGATATATGTTTAGCCTCCTAAATCCTACGAACCAACTCTTCATATCAAAAGCTATTAAAAAGTACAAATTACATTATAAAGTCGATCAAAACTTACCGCTTCTAACTCTTCTTCATGCTTTGGAATGAAAGCAGTGTCAACTTTTCCATTTCTGAAGTCCTGTTAACCGTATCATGTTCATTTTGATTAAATAACAATGAATATCAGCATAATTTTCACAAACTAAACATCACATCCCACACTCAAAAGATAGCAACACCAACCTCAATATCAATAATGAGTTTATGGTATTCAATTGTTGTAGGAACCCCTGAAACGTATTGTATGGATTAGGAGATTACATGAGGGGTAGACTTTCTTCAAAATAAAATTAGACTGAACAGAAGAAAATGGAGAAACTCCTTTGGAACATGCATATTCAACATGCAACGCTTCAGAATATACTTTTTCTTGATAAAAAAAGGCTTTACTGGACAAAAGAAAACCAGGCAATTCCTTTGGCACAAGCATATGGGGTTACATCATGCATGTAGAACCAAGACAATGTGTTGGTAGCTATTAATTCAAACTGGTGTACAGAGTTACTTTTTTCTGGTTAAAGGTTTCTTCTCCCATAGTCCAAAGGAACCTCACATGTGAATGTTTAAAAGAACTGACTAAGAAAAAGAAAAGTAAATAATATAAATAGTACAGCATAGCAAACAAAGTCCAAACTCTTGGTCAATAATTAGTACCTGTAATTACAGTGTCATCAAGAGCCCTTTTCAAGCGCTCAATTTCTTTTCCCTTGTTGGAGCCCATACGATAAGCTGAATCAGAGTAACAGAAGAACAATTTCAAAGCTAAAATTCTCATTTCAGAGAAGCAGCCCATAAATTATAAAAGGTACATACAAAATAAATGCAACAACACTTTGCAACATGAATCTTTTTTCTTTTTGGTATAACGCAACATGAATCAGAACATGCATGCAGTTCTACATGAAACTTTGCTTCATGTTTTGCCATGTTAAAAATTACCTTGGCAAAGTTCAAAACTCAATGCAGTTTATTGTATGCACCTTGAAAAAAACAATTTATGATATTCTTAATACACTGAAGGAAAAGGTTATAGCATTCTCTTCTCTTCCAAAATAAACATTCTTGGACCCTTAAGGACTTCTCATCAAACAGTTCATAAATGCATAATCTTATAAATAATAAACATGCATAGTTTAAGAAATTATTACAAACCTTTCCAAGTAATGAATCATAGCTTGGAGGAACAACATAATCAGAATAAACATGGCTATCCATTCGAACAAATGGGCCTCCAGATGGCAAGTAGTATGTTATTCTCCCTGTCATTCAGAAAGCACAGGAGGATTTTACATTATTGAAATATTATACCAAGCCTTCCATTTCCTTCCTATGCTTTCGTTTGTTTGAAAGCCGCAACCAAGGGAAGAAATTGAGGAAAATTGAGCTTAAAATTAAAAAAAAAAGGTTAAAAGAAACTATATATTCTATAGTGTAAATCGTGAAACTTACACCTAAAAAAGGTTGCAAAAACAAAAAGATCATATGCAAGCTTGAATGATTATAGTATAGACTAACAAGGCAAAGTTTTTAAATAAAAAGGTGCCGCGTATAAGATAGTAGTTGTTATCATTAGGTAGATAATTGGGGAAGTAGTGTAACCCTTCAGACCGATGCGGGTGACCAGATCCGATCCGGGGTGCCACATTATGGCCACCGGAGCGACCCACTGTAAAAATCTCGGAAAAATTTAAAATTTTTATTAAAACATGTAAAATCATAAAACAATTTATAACTACAAATGTAAAATTTACCAATATTCAGAAATAAAACAGATTCCAGACTCAGATATAAAAACAAAATACAACCTACATGCCCCCTAAACACATACACTGTACTCCGCAAGCAATGCCGACAGAACTCCCTTACCGATGTCGATAGTTGCACTGGTTCAAACCTTTTAACCTGAAATAGTGAGTAACAGAATGAGCTTTGGAAAGCTCAGAAATATAGTACTACCACGTAGATAACTGATAAGAATATGTTTCCTTATTGATTCAGACATCTACAGTCCTTTATGCTGAGCTGAGGTCCCACTGATAATTCAGGTAGTAAAAGATAGTAAACTTTTAGCTGAGAGGAAATGTTTTCGGATGACTGAGTTCAGGATATCAGAACAGGGTGTCTAGTGTGTTCCGAAAAAACCAATGAAAAGGTACATATCTTTTTTTTAAATAGTAGCAGTTTAAAATGTATTTTTCAAAAACCATATTAATCTCTTCAACAGAACGCCATATGCAGTTCCCCAGAACTTCATAACCTAAAGGAGCACCTTGGGGCCTGAGAGCTTACCAAAAAAAATTCTCGGGGTCGTAGAGCCTACCCAAGGGTCGCCTTAGGTCCATAAGGAATTACCAGTCAGTTCAAGGAATTACCAGCAACGACTGAACCTTCCAGAGATAGGAATTACCAATCGGTGATAAACCTATACAAGGAATAACTAGCAGTGACTGAACCAGCCAGAGTCTTCAGTCATACTAGAGTCCCAGAGTACCTCATATAAAAATAATTTCATTTAGTAAACAGAGATATAAAAAATCAGAGTAGAGCTCGGAATAGAAATCAGATAAAACATACATGTAATCAGGGAAACACACTAGAGGTTGCAGATATTATTCGGAGGTACTTGATAATCTTATCGACAGGGAAACACGGATCTTCAGTATACCGATATAATGTCGGAAATTAAAATCACTATCAAAAGAGTTCATTAGTTGAGGAAATCATCAGTTATTCAGAACGTGATTTATCAGGATCATAAAGTATTCAGATATTTTTCGGCGGCACTATGTAATCAGAAAGGTATTCAGAATAATAAGCAATAGAGTTACTTGTGTTTTCAGATATAACAGGAGTGATTCCATTATTCAGGAAATCAGAGACGTTTTGGGCATTAAGTTCTTTCAGAATTCTTAGTGTTTTGATCTAATAAGGGAGAAATGAAGATTCAGGGAATTTACAATTTGTGTCGATCTATCGAAATATCAAATTAACTTGAACTAAACAATCCTAGCACTGATACCTATCAACCGATCAAACTGTCGCACTTCAAGGGTATTCACTCTTTAATACAAACAACTCTTGTCGAATTGATCATCTTCAGAGTCATCGCTGAATTGATCTTAAGGAGACAAACAAACATTAACTCATTCCATGACTTGGGCTTACCTTAGGTCATTTACTCTCCAATGGCATTTTGGTCATTTTCAGTTCAAGGGTATTAAGTTATTTTCTTCAATTCAAACATATGCACCATTCTAGTAATTTATTTATCAGGTTTTGTCTAAAAATCAGAATTTCTAAATATTTCGCCATCTTAGGATTAGAAATCAGTTATCCATATTTTCTAAGCAAAATTAGCATTTTCTATGCACATCAGTAGTTTCATCAGATCAATATGTCTTTTAGAGTTATTTTCCAACTTTCAGGGACAATTCTTGTCTTTTTACAACATAAGGGTATTTTCATAATTTTACCCCATAAGAGTATTTTCGTAATTTTACCTAACTGAAGTATTGTTATAATTTCTCATCCAAGTACCTTCGGTATTTAACTTTTAATGAGATAAATTAGAATTTACAGATCCAAGGTTGGATTACTTTACCACTTAATCACAAAACTTATAATATCATTCTAACGGTCCCCCAATTTCTTATTCGAGTCATCTGAGCCATATTTAGTTACCGAATTTGACCATATTCAGATCGAATTTATATATAAATTACTATACAGCTAAGACCAAACATATTCATCCATGTATTTACCAATTCCAACATGTTCCATAAAGCATGCATAAGGTAGCAATGTATTACCTCAGTTTTTGTGCCATACCGATCGACCATTTAAACTCCATTCGATCACCCTCAACTTGAATTCAACGTCCAATAATTCCTCAGATACACTACAACAAAAATTTCATCAGAAACAGAGCTTAATTGTGAAAAACAAATCGAATCAGGTGGTTAATCAGTGAAAAAAAGCTTATCAAGTTCGAATTTGGTGAAACGGACCTAAAAACAGACTCAGGACGTCAAAAAACATCAGAATAGATGTACTAAAAAAATCAACGATCGGTCAATGGCGTTCAACAACCAACACCTGGTCAACTGTCAACGACTCAATCAACAACTCACCTAGTCGGCTCGACGGCTCGATTCGGCTCAACCGACTCGATCAAGACCGGTTCAGCCATTCAGCACACTACCAGGCTGGCAGACGACGCCCACGCGCAGGAAGAGGTGCGTGCGGCTACTCCGGTCGTCGGAAGGCGACAGAAATTTCTAGATTGCTAGATATCTGGCTTGGGAGTCACATGAAAGTGTTATTTTTCAATGAAATATAACACATTGCTAAATTTTAAAAATTACGAATTTCTCCAACAGTGGCCAACATGTGACGACGATGGAGCTCGATGGCATAATGATTTCGGTAAGGTTTTGAGCGCACGGTGACGGTGAGTCCAATGATGCAGACGATGAGGTGATCGGACGGGTTGATCGAACGGAATTGATAGAAAACATGCAACGGTCAGGTTAAAAATGATGAAGCTTCACGTCGAGTTTTATGGTGAATGACACCAATTCACTATGAGATAGGGGTCAAATTTTGTTCACCTTTTGATGGTGAGTCTATTTGTGGTCTAAGGGTGATGAACAGTGGCAGGACGACGATGGATTGAGGCGGTAAATATGTCCGATGGAGATGATGAATATGGGGTTTAGGGATTCAAGGTTTAGTTTGAGGGAATCAGATTGCTCGAGGTAGGGGTTAAAATTTTCACTAGGTAATAAAAATGGGTAAATTCGTGTTCAAGTCCCTGGATTTTCTTGTAACTTCCTAAAAGGCCTATAAATTATGAAATCTTATATTTTGGTCCCCAATTTCCCTTTGTTACTACCTTAATTCGATACTTTAAAATTAATAAAGTTTAGCACCCAAATTGAGGTGTGACAATTCTCCCCTCCTTAAATGAATTTCGTCCTCAAAATTCACTCAATTCACAGAAATTTAGAATTGAAGCTTCTATCAGTTCTTCCATTTCTTGAAGTAGCTTTTACAGAAGTGTTGGTCCTCTGTTAATCCTTAACCAGCTGAGTATACATTCTCGACAGAACTCTCCCTTATTCCAATAAAAGAATCAGAACAAAATTATCCTTGTGAATCAATTCGACTTTGGCTACGAGGATAGGTTTATAGAGCAGTAACATATCCCAATTTCATTTATAGAGTCGGTTCAAAATTTCTCGGATAAGTAACTCTCACACTACTCGTGAGGTACTTTATAGAATTTAGCAATGTTATTGGTATTTCTTTATGCATAGATCGAGCCCTAACAGATAGAAAACTTAGGTTAGCTCATTACAGAGAGGGACTCGATCTTGGAGTTTCCTGTTTAAAGAGTATGATCATAATTTAGGGGCATGTCTAGACCAGACATCTTTTGACTGTCGACAGACTAGTCTATCTAGAAAAATTTGACACAACCTAGGCTCTAATACCACTAAATGTAACCCCCACAGACCAATGCAGGTGACCCGATCCGATTCGGGGTGTCACATTAGGGCCACCGGAGCGATCCACTGTAAAAATCTCTGAAAAAATTTAAAATTTATATTAAAACAAGTAAAATCATAAAACAATTTATAAAACTAAAGTAAAATTTACCAATATTCATAAATAAAACAGATTACAGACTCAGATGTAAAAACAAAATACAACCTACATGCCCCCTAAATACATACACCGTACTCCGCAAGCAAAGCCGGTGGAACTCCCTTACCGATGTCGATAGTTGCACTGGTTCAATCATTTTAACCTAAAATAGTGAGTAACAGTGTGAGTTTTGGAAAGCTCAGTAACACAGTACTACCAAATGATGCTGAAATGCATGCAGATAACCGATAAGTATATGTTTCCTTATTGATTCAGACATCTACAAACTTTTATGCTAAGCCGAGGTCCCACTGATAATTCAGGTAGTAAAAGATAGTAAACTTTCAGTTCAGAGGAAATATTTTCAATGACTGAGTTTAGAAGATCATAACAGGGTGTCTAGTGTGTTCCCAAAAAACTAGTGAAAATGTACAAATATTTTTTAAACAGTAGAAGTTTCAAAAGTATTTTTCAAAAACCATACTAATCCCTCCAACCGAACGCCATATGTAGCTCCCCAAAACTACTTAACCTAAGGGAGCACATTGGGGCTTGAGAGCCTACCCAAGAAAGATTCTCGGGGCTACAGAGCCTACCCAAGGGTTGCTTTAGGTCCATAAGGAATTACCAGCACTGATTGAACTTGCCAGAGATATGAATTACCAATCGGTGTTGAACCTATACAAGAAATTACCAGCAACGACTGAACCTGCCAGAGTCGTCAGTCATACTAGAGTCCCAGAGTACCCGGTATAAAAATAATTTTAATCAGTAAACAGAGATATAAAAAATCAGAGTAGAGGTTAGAACAGAAATAAGAGAATACATACATGTAATCAGGGAAATATACTAGAGGTTCCAGATATTATTCAGAGGTACTTGATAATCTTATCGAAAGGGAAGCATAGATCTTTAGTATACCAATATAATGCCAGAAATTAGAATCACTATCGAAAGAGTTCATTAGTTGACAAAATCATTAGTTATTCAGAACGTGATTTATCAGGATCATAAAGTATTTAGATATTTTTCAGAGGCACTATGTAATCAGGAAGGTATTCAAAATCCTAAGCAATAGAGTTACTTGTGTTTTCAGATATAACATGAGTGATTCCATTATTCAGAAAATCAGAAACATTTTGGGCAATATGTTCTTTAAGAATTCTTAGTGATTTGAGCTGCTAAGGGAGAAACAAAGATTCAAGGCATTTACGATTTGTGTCGATCTATCAAAATATCAAATTAACTTGAACACAATCCTATCACTTATACCTGTCAACCGGTTAAATCGTTGCACTTCAAGGGCATTCACTCTTTAATACAGACAACTCTTGTCGGATTGATCATCTTTAGAATCATTGCTGAATGGATCTTAAGGAGACGAACATATATTCAGTCATTCCATGACTTGGGGTTACCTTAGGTCATTTACTCTCCAAGGGCATTTTGGTCATTTTATAGTTCAAGGGTATTCAGATATTTTCTTCGATTCAAACATATGCACTATTCTAGTAATTTATTTATCAGGTGATTTTGTCCAAAAAACACAATTTCTAAATCTTTCGCCATATTGGGGTTAGAAATTAGTTATCCAGATTTTCTAAGAAAAAACTAGCATTTTCTATGTACATCAGTAGTTTCATCGGATCAATATGTCTTTTCAAAGTTATTTTCCAACTTCCAGGGATAATTCTTATCTTTTTACAACGTAAGGGTATTTTCTTAATTTTACCCCATAAGGGTATTTTCATAATTTTACCTTATCGAAGTATTGTCATAATTTCTCATCCAAGTACCTTTGGCAATTTATCTTTTAATGAGATAAATTAGAATTTACAGATCCAGGGTTTGATTTCTTAACCACTTAATCACAAGACTTGTAATTTAATTCTATCGATCCTCCAATTTCTTATACGAGTCATCTAAGCCATATTCAATTACCGAATTTTTACAGTACTCGGATCGAGTTTATAAATAATTTACTATACAGATGAGACCAAACATATTCATCCATGTATTTACCAATTCCAACATGTTTCATAAAGCATGCATAAGGTAGTAATGTATTACCTCGGTTTCTGTTCCATACCGATCGCTCATTTAAACTCCATTTGATCTCCCTCAACTTGAATTCAACATCCAATAATTCCTCAGATTCACAACAACAAAAATTTCATCAGAAACAGAGCTTAATTACGAAAAACGGATCGAATCTGTTGGTTAATAAGTGAAAAACAGCTTATTGGGTTCGAATTTGGCGAAACGAAACTAAAAAACGGACTCAGGACGTCGAAAAACATTAGATTAGGTGTACCTAGAAAAAGTCAATGGTCGTTCAACAACCAACGCCTGGTTAACAGTCAATGACTCAGTGAACGGCTCACCCAGGCGACTTGGCTGGCTCAGGCGACTAGGTCCAAACCGGTCCAGTCTGTTAGCACACTCCCAGGCTAACAGACGAAGCCCACGCGCAGGGAGAGCCGCGAGCGATAGCTTCGATCATTAGACGGCGACGAAAATTTCCAGAGTGCAAAATCTCTGGCTTGGGAGTCACGTGCAAGTGTTATTTTTCAATGAAATATAACATATTGCATAATTTTAAAACGTACGAAATTCTCCAACGGTGACCGGCGAGTGACTACAACATATCAACAATGACACGACAATTTCGGTCGGGTTTTGAGCACACGGTGACGGTGAGTCCAATGGTGCAGGCAATGAGGTAAACAAATGGGTTGATCGACCGAAATCGACAGAAAGCATGATACGGTCGGGATAAAAACAATGAAGCTTCACATCGAGTATTACGGTGAACGGCGTCGATTCACGATGAGATAGGGGTCGCGTTTTGTTCACCATTCGACGGTGAGTCTATTAGTGATGTCAGAGCGACGAACGGTGGCCAGATGACGACGAATTGATTCGGTAAAGGTGGCCAACAGAGATGATGAATTTGGGGGGAAAATCAGATTGCTCGGGGGAGGGGTTAAATTTTTCAGTGGGTAATAAAAATGGGTAAATTTGGGTTCAAGTCCCTGGATTTTACTGTAACTTCCTAGAAGGCCTATAAATTCGGAAATCTTGCATTTTGGTCCCCAATTTCCCAATGTTACTACCTTAATTCGATATTTTAAAATTAATAAATTTTAACCCCTAAATTGGGGTGTGACAAGTAGTCGTTCAGTGCAGTAGTCTCCTCAAGCTAGAGCGTCTACGTGTAGAAGCAAAGAAAAAAGTTTTTGGAACAGAGAAGAAACTGAATTCTCTGTATTTTCTCACTTGCCAAAAGGAACTAATGAAATCTGAATAAAATTCTTGCTGGAAAAGAACTCCTAATGTAAATAAAACAGCAGCTGTCACTCTTCCTTGTAACAGATAGTCTCCTATATATTTATATTAGAACATTATGTACAAAGGACTAATATATCGATAAAATACTTAGTGTAGCAATTTTAAAAAAAGAGCCTACTGCAACAATAATTGTCACATAAACAGAAATAAATAAATGCATACCTGGTCCAGGTCTAAACCCTTTAAAAGCATCTTCTGCATTGATACGACATTCGATAGAATGCCCTCTGAGCACAATATCTTCCTGAAAATCATAATTTATGAGTAGTTGAATACACTGTGTTCTGTGCTCCAAAGAATTTCACTTTAACTTTTCATTTCAATACCTGTTTGTACCGCAGTTTTTCTCCCATAGCTACACGAATTTGTTCTTCAATCAACAGAGGAAATCATTTCAGTTACAGGATGCTCCACCTGAGTTTAATTGATAAAATAGAACATTTAGCAGCATTCCTAATTAATCCGCTAATAGGTAACTATTGAATCAGAGTACCCAGTCCTTATTCAACTTGGATTTGAGTGTTCATTTCCATGAAGTAGAAGGAACCTCTTTCATCCAAAAGGATCTCAACAGTTCCTACACCAATGTAACCAATAGATACTGCTGCAGCCACTGCTGCATCACTCATGGCCTTCCGCAACTCAGGAGTCAGTGGTGGAGAAGGAGCCTCTTCAAGAAGTTTTTGGCTACGTCTCTGTATATAGGTCGCATTCAACAACATTTCATGTAAGCTAGTTATCTGTTCTTTAAATTAAGGGGAAAGAGAGATAAAAAAAATAGAGAACATTGTGCAGCCAGAAGTTCAGTTAAAGTTTAGCGCATTCCATCTTGCAGCAAAGATTTGAGAAATAGCCCCTACCCTAGCTGCCTTTGTAAGCATATTTGCTCCTAATAGAAAGATGCAATATCTTGAGGCTATTATCACTAGTAAGATGCTTTAATTACCAATCCAAATTGGCGACGACCTGTTTAAGTACCATAGTTGATGAAACCATGAAAAGTTAAACTTATTTGTTTTCATGTGTACCTAAAATAATAAAACTAAAGAATTTCTTTTAAAAACTTTAACTATTTTCCTCTCGAGGGTCAGATTCAATTTATGCAGCCCACCCAAGCGTTAGCTTGTCAAGCTTAGCTTATTTTTGGAGTTTCTAGAAGGACAGTTTTCCCTGAGTTCAAATTGGCAATTTAGGCTCCATTTAGCTGTTATTTTGACTACTTATGTTTATATACAAATACTATAAGAGAAGATCATGTTTGTTAAAAACAAGCAAGAGGTTAAAGTGAAACGCCGATTTAAACATCAATTGTTGATTCCATATTTGGGAAGGAAAAAATAACTTTATCACATGCTTGGAGTTTGCTGTTTCTAAATGTGTACAGCAGTGTCTTAACCATGTTTTCACCATATCCATTTTTTATACCTGTCCTAGCAATTTTCAACAAGTATTCTATCGAGTCCATACCGCACATGTTGAAAACTTGCACACTCTTCTGATAAAAAAGTGCCTATACTGCATAGTGTAGCTTTCATAAGCGAGTCGTTGAATCGCATATGTTTTAGTGAAACTTTGGAGTAGGAATCCAATATCTAGTAGATTTAGTCCCCTAGAACCATAACAATTGAAATGAATATATTTCAAGATGATTTTAACAAGTTAAATTATGAGTATTTTAGTTTATTAAGGAATGGATACCAAAAATCACTCGTTTTCATTCAAAGAAAAATCACATGCGCTTTTTTTTACGAGTATCAAACCTAATTCTTGACCAATAGTACCGGTCAATTTCCACAAGCCAAAACCCTATATTAACCAATAAATCTTAGGGTAAATCACACGTTTAGTACCTAAACTATTACTTTTGTTCCATTTTGGTACCCAAACCTTTTTTAAACCATATATAATGTTTTGTTTATGTTTCAATTTTGTACTCCGCTGTTAAAAAATTAACAGAATTGCTGACGCAACATTCTTTTTATTTTTTCAATGATGACATGGCATTACCATATGGTGACACATCAACATCACCATTAAGTTTTTAACAGCGGGTACCGAAATGAAACCTAAAATAAGCGTTAGGTATGGTTTTGAAAATAAATATGGTTTGGGTACCAAAATGGAACAAAAGTAATAGTTTAGGTACTAAACATATAATTTACCCTAAATCTTAATGACTAATATTATTGCTGCCCAAAATTTCAAGCAAACCTACTTCCTTCAGTTCCAGCAATCTTTTGAGATAAGTTTCAATTGTTACAAACCTGATTTGGTTCCTAAACCTTATCCATATTCCTATAATAACTACAAGTCTTAAGATCCCTAGTGTTCTAACCCTATTCCACCATACACATGGGTAAGCAAAACTTTTTCAAATGTTTTTACAAATAATTCGGAATGTAGAAGCATTAAAAGAAAATCTAGAGTAGCTAAAGATGGGTTTTCCTTGCTATAGAACTTCAGCCTTCATGTTTAGTCACTTTTTTTCTCTCTTTTCCCAAGGTTAAAATTGATTTCTTTATGAATTGGTTTCGAAAACAAGATGTAGCGAAGTTGTGGACTAAGCATGGCAATAATACCTGGATGCTGCAGTCTCGCTCACCAAAGTGTACAACATTACCATATTTATCTGCAAGAACCTGCAAGATCATACTATATAGGAAAAGAAAATTACAAACTTACATGTGGTCTATACTCTATAATAGAGAGCATATGAAGTAAAGGACACTATGGCTTAAACACAGGTCAGTAAGCAATGCATGCCACAAATCTTCTGACAGGTGAAGCCAACAATGGAGGCTAAGGAACACATAATGTATCATCGTTGACTATATAGTCTTACAAATTATATGATGTTACCAAGAAAATATTCTAGCTACTAAGGAAAACTACATTAGAAAGCTCTCCAGATTTACAATCTTAAGAGTGATGCAAGCCAATGAAGAGGAGGGAACTTATGCAAGCACAGACAATTACCTGGAACTCGATGTGCGTTGGATTTTGAATGTACTTCTCCAAATAAACTCAATCGTTTCCAAATGCAGCTGCAGCTTCACTTTTGGCTTGCTGTAATGTGTAGAAATTAAATTAAAATCAAGTGCAAATACACTTCAGTTAGATAATGCATGCTCCAATCTTTTTGAAGAACTTTAATTTATATAGCCAAGAGATCTAACTAGAATTCTAGAGTATATATAAAAAAATAAAATGAAAATTTTCTCACATTTCAAAATGCTAAAAACTGGAAGGAATTGTCTAGTAGACCAACGAAACACTCCTGAGAAAACTGCAGTGCCCTCAGGCTAGTAAACAAAAGTTGGCACTAACCCAAGTCTTCTGTTTAAAATCAAATAAGGAAAAGGATGTATTCCATAATTACATCAGTTATGCACTGCCTCAGGAGGTGAGTAAAATGAGAATCTGACTATTGATTACCTAAATTAAATAAAACTGACTTCGAAAGGGAGATATGTAGAATAATTGGGGCAACTCGTATTTGAAGTAATACCTGCAGTAACTTCACAAATTCATCAGGCTCTTTTGCAAAGACGCATTCCACGCCCTCCACCACCGGCAGTTCCCTTGAATATAAAATAGAATAAAAAAGAAATTAAAAAAGGTTTCAAGGCCAAGACAGATTTCAATGCACTTTCAGAAACAACGGTACCCTCTTGACATTCAAAATCATATTTCGTAGCTGCCTTTTGATGGTAGTGCCAAAAAGGAATAAAAGATTTTTGCCACATCCTTTAACAAAGAATCACATTGAACCACTACAATTACTGGAGCAGTAAAATTAACACCCATAATGTTCAAAGGCAACCAATAGGAGGTTTTTTGCAATGGCTTTTGAGAAGTACAGACAGAGAAAAAGAAAGGTTTATGAACTCTATGCTAGGACACTACTAAAAAATCAAAATATTTTATTTAAAAAATGAAATGATCCATCATTATTAGTCGTGGCTCCACTTTACATGGATGTCTTCTTTTCCTATTTTAGGCTTTTAGGTTGCTTTTCCAGTCGGTGTGCATTTCTGCTAGATTTGTTTCCTTTTGAATGCTTAAATCTTGGAACAAACCAAAAAGAATGAAAAATTAAACAAAACTTTCTAAACGAAGTATAAGTCGAATAGCTAGAAAAGGGGCACCAAATTCGCATGTGCAGCCAGTAAGTTGTACTGACAATATAAAACATAAAATGATTGCTGGGGAGCAAAATAATCACCTTGATCATCACAGGAAAGCCAATCTCATGGGCAATCTTGATCGCTTCCTCTGTACTCTTTAAAAAAAGAAAGTTAACCAAGGAACTACAAACTGACTAAAAATACTATGCTTGAGCTGCATAAAAGAACATTGACCCAAAATATAATACCTGTAACAATCCGTCACTTCCTGGAACAGTAGGAACACCCGCATTCTTCATTGTTTCTCTGGCCGTTGATTTGTCGCCCATAACACGAATACTGTCAGGCTGCCAAAGCATAGGCAGAATTCTTTCTTTTGATTTAGGGCTGAGGATGGGCTAAAACCGAACAAATGAGCTAAAAGAATAACATCAGTGTTTAGTTTAAAATCCATCAAACTTATCATACACTTGCCCATTCAGAATGCTGATGAGAATCCTGAATGCATTATTATAAGCAAAGATAATTAAAAAAAAAGATCTGACTACAGTAAACAAGTCTTGGTGAGAAAATTTCTAGTGACCACAAGAAGTAGCAGACATAGCTCACAAATTGTCAAGTCATCTGCTCGCCAAATAGATCATTTATTTTGCGATGACGAATTGAAACTAAAAACTGAAAGCAAACAATTCCAACTAAGAAAGACTAAAATAACTGCAGAAAATGCAGTAAAAATACTGCATAATGTAGAATTCTGAAGTAGAATACTCTTTCACTTGTATTTTATTGATTAGTAGAGAGGTATATATATATATACAACTCTAATCATGCTAAACTAGGTAACATATATTACATTAAAGGTAATTAGTCTAATAATCAGCCTAACAATTAGCCTAAGAATCTATAACACTCCCCCTCAAGTTGGATCATAGATATTGGATAAGAACACTCACCGAATAAGCAATATCAGGACGCGTTATAGTAAGATAATTTAATTTTCCAATTAGTCTTCTGTACCTTTTAGGATCATCAAATAATTCACCTTCTTTAGATAATTGTAGATTGGGGAATAACGAAGTACTACAAGATTTAGCACCCAACTTTCTTGACTTCGAAAATAGATCAAGCACATTTTTGCTTTGGGATAGGAAGATTCCTCTTTTACTTTTGTTCACCTCAACTCTCAAAAAATATTTCAACATCCCTAGATCTTTGGTATGGAACTGAGTATGGAGAAAAGACTTCAGAGATGTAATTCTGCTAGAATCAATTCCAGTGATTACAATATCATCTACATACACAACCCATAGGATAAAGCCCTCATCAAACTTTCTAAAGAAAACACAATGGCCTGACTTATTTTTTTTACATCCTGAACTTCTCAATAGCCTAACTAATATTCCTAAACCACGCTCGAGGACTTTGTTTCAAGCCGTATAGAGACTTCTTCAAACGACATATTTTCCCATACTCCCCTTGAGCAACAAAACTAGGTGGTTGCAAGTGAGATGAATAATCTGACAGAAACAAGTTTAGCAGCAGGAGAAAACGTATCATAATAATCCACTTCATAAGTCTGAGCATACCCTTTTACAACAAGTTGAGCTTTCAATCGATTAATAGAGCCATCAGGAATGAACTTAATAGTAAACACCCATTTGTACCCAATATCTTGTTTACAGTAGGTAAAGGTACCAAAGTCCACATACCATTGTCCTCTAGAGCCTTCATTTCCTTAAGCATAGTTGAACGTCATCCTTGGTCTTAAAAGGTGCGAGACGCAACCAGGCACTGAATATTGTGCTCGCCTGGGATGAGGCGAGGCGAGATACAAGAGGCACGCCTCTGAGCTTTAGGCACTGGGCGTTAGGCGCTGCCTTTGCTCCTTTCGAATTTTTTAAAGATATTAATAGGAAGTAGAACAAATTAAAGAAGAAATAAAAAGATAAAAAAAAATTATAGTTGTAAGAAAGGAAGAAGATGGCTGAAGAAGACTAGAAAACTCTTTCTTTTATCACATTTTCTCATTTCTTAACTCTAATATTTGACCTATTAACAAGCCCAACCCTATAACCCAAATTTATAGTCCAACTCTAATGTTTATTTATTTATAACAAACCATTATAACTTCTTCCACCCTTCGTCTTCTTTTAACCCAAAGTATATGTTTTTTTTAGAAATTTAGTTATTTAATAATACATAAATAATTTTAAAATAATAAAATATTAAATAAATATTAATTACTATATAAATTCTATTAAATATAAAAATTAATTTTATATAATAATTACAAATTTTAAATTGATATTAAAATAAATTTGTATCATTTAAAAATAAATGAAATAATAGTTTTAAATATTAAAAACATTAAGTATAAATCAATAACAATGTAGATTTTTGTGAAAGAGATTAAAATATGTTTATAAAATAAATAAAATAATAGTTTTAAATATTAAAAACTTTAAGTAAAAATTAATACACTGTAGACAAGTATTTTACGAGTTAATCGGTGAGTAATGAGTATAAATATACTCATACAATTAATTTATAAAATATTTAGCATAGACATGTTTATAATATTGTTTTAAGTATAAAATATGTTCCATAACTAATTTATAGGTTTTAGTATAAAAGTGCGCATCACCTATGAAAGGCGCAAAGCGTAGGGCTCCAGGGATCTTTTGCGCCTAGGTGCGCCTTATGCCTTTTAAAACCAAGACGTCATCCTGAATGAGCTAATGCTTCTTGAATAGTTTTAGGGATAGAATCAATATCCAAGAACGTAAGAAAAGCATGAGAAGAAGAGGGCAGACGATTCTATACAACAACATAAGAAATTAGGTATGTATATGTACGTTTACCTTTTCAAAGGGAAATAGAAAGATCAAGATCACCTATGGTAATCGGATCTGATGATCAATATTTAGCTCATTAGGACATGATTTTGGAACCCCTATAACTGGGTTAGAATTGTGCAGTTGTGGACGACGTGAGTAGGTGTTTTTAATGGGAGGCTCAACGAATGAATGTTGAACCAATGTAGAAGATGACGAATCCAAATTTGACGGGATATTATAAATTAATAAATCTCCCTTTTGATGCACAGGACCTGAAAAACAATGGAAATATGTTTGTTCTAAAAAAGTAACACCGAGAGACGCAAGATACCTACCCAGACTTGGACAATAATAGCGATACCCTTTTTGTACACGCGAATATTCTAAAGCACACATTTCAAGGACTTAGGATCAAGCTTTGTAACATGAGGACAAACATCCCGAACAAAACAAGTAGAACAAAAATTTTCTGGTGAGACGAAAAACATATTTTTATTAGGGAACAAAGTATGGAAAGATGTTTTACCTATCAAAATAGAAAAATACATACGATTGATGAGAAGATGAGAAAACAAGCGGTTGACACTACATTAGTCCCGTAATATTTGAACATGTGTACCAAACTGAGTTTGAATTTCAACACAGAAAGAAGAAAAATGAGTAAACAATTCAAAATGAAATTTCATCAAGTAAAGCCATATCAGTCTAGAAAAATTACTAACAAAGGTGACAAAGTACCGAAAACCAGGTTTAGATATAACTAGACTAGGATCCTAAACATCAAAATAGACTAACTCAAATGGGACAGAGGCACGTTTATTGACTCGAGGGTGTGAACTAAGATGATGATGCTTAGCAAACTGACAAGATTTGCAATCGAAAGACGTTAAGTTAGAAAATTGAGGACAAAGTTTCTTTAAAGAAGGGTGTAAGGGATTACCTAAACAACAATGTTCTTCAAAAGGAGTGACAGTTCCAGTGCAAGCAACATTTTCTGGTTCTTTGGTATTGAGGATATGGAGAACATCAGACTCATGTCCTTTACCAATAATCTTCTTCACCAAGAGATCCTGAAACAAATAATAACCGAGGAAAAATGAGACAAGACAGTTAAGGCTACGCATAAGTTTACTAACTGATATAAATTAAAAGATAACTATGTTAAGCTCAATAAAGATGACAAAGGAATATACGGAGTAGGACTCGTAGTGTCGAAGCCAATAACATTGGATTTGGAACCATCGGCTAAAGTAATAAGAGTGATAGAATAAGATTTAAAGTGAGAAAGAAGATCGGGGTTACTTGTCATGTGGTTTGTTGCACCAGAGTTAATGACCCATTTTGATAAAGCGGAAAGAAGACATATATTGGGTTTACCTGACTCGACAAGGCTAAAAATGAGAATAAACGATTGTTTCATAGTTTCTCGAAGACAAAGGAACTTGGCATACTCATCCGCAAATATTGTAACAACTGTTGAAGAAATTGCAATATTATTTTTATCAGCTATAAGTGCAGAAAACACACAACCCACAAAAGAAGCAAAAACAACAACTAAACAGTACTTAAAAAAATAGACGACATCCAACCCAAAATGGAAAATGATCCAGAGGTACGGGTTAGCGGCAGGGTGTGGTATGAAACACCCAAAGACAATGATGGAAGGAATCAACGTCAAAAAAGGTAAGCCAAGCGCCAATACATGACGAAGTGACGAAACCTTGTGGTGGCGCATGAGCTTCACGCGCTGGGAATCTGGCGATTGGCAAATCGGTCTATCAGGACACAATGAACCTCCTGGTGTTGGTAGTGTCGAGAGAATGACCTCCAAAAGTCACTGATGAAAAATGACAAAAAAACTCCTTTCTTTTGATACCCAAACAACCCCCAGAAATATAAATTCTCAAACTCTTAAATATTTTAACACATATGATACCATATAGCGTTTTGAAGTAGAATACTTTTCACTTGTTTTTTATTAATTAGTAGAGACTGGTATATATACAACTTTAATCATGCTAAACTAGGTGACATATATTACATTAAAGGTAATTAGTCTAATAATCAACCTAATAAATAGCCTAAGAATCTGTAACACAGAAAATTCAGATTCTAGATAAAACATCAAAAGCGAACATTCAGGATAGGCAAACGACAAAAAAAGAAATGCATTCTCTTTTAAGTGGATCTATGAACTGCACAAAAAATTACGTAACTAAAATATAGAGTAATTGAAATATATGCTGAGAGAAAATTTTGCTTTTCTACTCTCAGTATCCATTACAAGCATCTAAAAACACTTTTGTTTTGAGGTAGCTCATATTAACCGATGGTTATGACACCATAAGATGCAATATGATTATGAAAACTGAATTCAACAGCCTGAATAGAAAGCACAGGTTACAACTCTATATATCAACATGTTATCCACCATTACGGACATTCATTACTTTTAAGCAGGAAAATGCCATTCTCAATTACTCATTCAATTAATTAGAAAGAAAAAAAGCCTAGTTTTCCAATAATAAAATATTCTCACATAACTTGATAGTTGTGTACTTACATTAGGCCCAATAAAGTTGATCCTTTGATCTCGTCACATTTATAAAAAAACTGCGTTCTCGGTAAGGAAACCATATCCAGGATGAAGCATGGTACACTTACGATTAATTGCAGCAGATATGACATTTGGAATCAATAAATACCTGAACAAAATGCAGTCAAACATAATAATTATGCTGTTATCAGTATTCAAACTGAATAAATACACAAACCCTAAGCAAAAGAGCACGGCATTGGTATGCTTGTGATACAAAATGCCAAAACAAAGATAAAGACTGTAAAAGCAGACAACAAAATCAAGGCATGTGCATCAAATAGCAAGAACAAAGAGATAGCTTATATATGCTCAATAATATGCTTTATGGCCACTGGAAACATTCTAAAGATAATTTATACACTTGATTCTTCAAATCAAGACAACAAAATGCACTTCATGCATTTCTACAACCGGTCCTGTTTGGCCTCATGCACATCAAAATTCAATTGAAATCCAATGGAAGTTGAGCGTACAAATCTTAGAAGAAGCAGCGAAGGTTGTAAAATTTACCAGAATCAAAACTATCCTAAAATGATGAGAACATTCTGAATCATTAAATTGCCACATGCAAGTTATTTCCATTTAAATCTTCATACAACTTTCAGTAATTTTTCATGTATTATATTTACCTAAAACTTATCTAACATATATAATTTAAATCGGTACCTTTTTCGTGTACTTGTTGAAACTTATCTAATAGACATAATTTAAATCAGTATTTTCATCTTGGAAATTACTTTATTCCCATTCTCTCTTAATCTACATACTACAGATATCTAATTCAATGAACAAATAAATATTAAACAAGGAGAATCTAACATATGTAGCAAGTAAAAGGAAAAGTTTCGAAGCAAAATTTGATTTAAAAATTGATAGAAGCATATCAAGGAAACCATAGATGATCAAGAGATGACTACTTACAACTGACTGCTAGGTGCTTCGCCTATTCAAACTGATTCATCAGCCAACTTCACATGAAGTGCTATCCTTATCAATTGTTGAATGAACAGCAACACATGGTATTCCCATCTCATGAGCTGTTTGGATTACACGAACAATAATTTCTCCTATATTTGCTACCAAATTTTTCTCAGAATGGTGTAGATGCTCATTTTGTCCGAGGATTTCATGCCCAAAACTAATCACATGCAAGCCCAAAATCATTACAAATTGCAAAATCCAATGTTCCCAAGACCAACCGGTTGGAGGCCTAGATGCAGTCTAAATGTTTAGGGTTTAGGGAAACCCTAGCTGCCATCAACTCATATGAACCGTTGAATTCAATCAATGATACAACCGTTCATCTTCAGCCCGAGAAGACCAACCGTCCATATTCACACGTGGGCCGCACGCATGCCTCTCTAGATGCCTTACGCTCCCGTAGATCTGACCCACCCTGACACCATCACAACCATCCCTGCTATACCCGAACGTCCTCACAATCGTAGAGCCCACCTCTTTCTTGACAAAAGCATATGGCAGGATCCCTGTTGTAACAACCAAACAAGCGAGTTGTTGAGGGAGCCTCCTCTATTATGCAGGCTCCCCTCGACACATGCAAAACAAATCAGCAAAGAGAAAAACAAAAACAAAAGGGGGGAAATACATAAACGACCAACAAAATAAAAAGGAGAAGAGGAGCATTAGCAAGCGGGATAAAAAATGAAAGAAAAACCATCTTGTTTTCTATCGAGCGAGTATCAACCCAAAGGAAAAATCATACAAAGCACACCACACCCCGGCAAGAAAAAAACGAAAATGTCCCTCCCTTTTATGAACAACCAACGAACCAAAGAAAACCAAGGACAACGAAAAGAAAAGCGCTCACCTTTCTCGTAAGGAGGGGATCGTCGGTGTCTTCTGGAGTTAAACGCCGTTAAGTCACCAAAAACTTCTTTAACCTTTGGTCGAGAGCATCTTTGGGAGATTTGGGGAGTTTTATTTGATTTTTAAGGGTTGTCCTGTGATGGGGGGTTTGTTTTCAGGGTGAGCTTTCCACCGATTTGGCTCCTCATCGGAGCCCTAGGCGGCGGTGACCACAACAGTAGTATGGTTTAGCGAAGAAGATGGAAAGTAAGAGATTGGGGGAAGTGAGAGAGAAGAAAGAAGTGGTTGAAGGCAAAAATGGGGTTAGGATTAGTTTTTGCCATAAATAACATATATATGTGCAAGCAAAAACGACGTCATTTAGGAGGTCTAAGGCTACCCGTCTGCATATGGTTTATTTGGGCTATGGGTCAATGTTGTTTCTGTGTTAGTTTATTTTGGTCCCTGAATCAAAATTTTTAAATTTCTAAATTTATCCCTCATATTTCATGCGCTTTTCCTTTTAGTCCAATGAGTTATTACTAATTTCATGTTGTTTTTACATATGGAATATGATTTACCTGATTTTCATTTTCTCCCACGCTATGTGTCTATTTGTATTTTGTACTGTTTATACTTCTGGCCTGTCATTTCAAGAGCTTTCATTTTATTCCCCACATGCTATGAGTTTATTTTAATTGTGCTACCTGGAATATATGACTTTTTTTTTGCTTTATGACCTATGTTTGTTTAACCTACAGAATAAGTCCTTAAGCATGCTCTTTTTAAATTTGGTCACATGCTCTTTAAACCCATTTATTTTTTTTATTTCCAATTTTTACCCAAAATGTTATGATGTGCGCACATATATTTTGCTTGGTCTAAATAAAAATATTACTAATCACTTTAATATGCATGTAAGGGACAATTTATGGAACACATGACACCATTTTGGCATGATATGTATGACACCCTCATAATCATCACTCGACTCAAATAATTGGACTAAGGGTAATACCCTTTCATTTTAAGGTCTTCGTGGAGTTGTAATACCACAAATATCGAGTCAATGACTATATTGAAAAGATTTTAAATTTGGAGGATTAAATAGAATAAATGGTAAAGTATAATAAATGGTTTAGAAATTTTTTTAAGACCAATTAGTAAGAATGGAAGAATGAAAGGGCATTTTGGTCCTTTAGAGGGAAATAGATTTAAAATTCATTTTAATTAGGGTATTTAAGAAAGGGAAAAAGAGGAAAGTTGGAAAATAAACTAAGTCATATTCTCTTCCTCCTTCCATGTTGCCCGTGCTCTCCTCCATAGCCAAAGGTAAGACTTTATCTATCTAGTTTTTCCTTTCTTTTGGTTTGGTCTTAACACCTTAAGTAATATGAAAGCTTAAGGAAGGTTTAAAGAGGATTAAAACTAATAGATGGATGATTTATTTGAGATTGAAGAAAATGAATTTTTTAGTGATATGTTGAAACATGAGTTTTTATTGAGGTTTATAAGTATATTTGTCTTGTCAAATAAGTAAATAAAAGATTATGGGTTGTTCTTTGGAGAATTTAGATGTTATAAGAAGCTAATTGGAGGAAAGTTGGGTTAAGTGATGTTAAGATTAAGGTATTGTTTGAGGTAAAAGTAAGAGATTTAAACGAAATTTGGGTAAAAATCAAACTGAAAATGGAAAATCTAGGTAAGGGTATCAGTACTGGAAGAACAATACCGATACTATAGGTTTAAATTGGAAAAATTCGGTGAACATTATCGATACTCATGCAAGTAGTATCGATACTACTATGGGTATCGATACTGTGAGGAAGTTATCGATACTATGGATTCTAGAATGCAAAAATGGTATCGATACTTAAAGGGAGTATCGATATCATGGTAGGGGTACCGATACTATTGAGCCTAGAAAATTAAAATAGGAGGAATTCTGATAGAAATTGAATATAATAGTACTTTTAAGTATTACTAAAGGAATAAATGTTAGGAAGTATACTACAAATTGTATGGTATGTGTAATAATGGATTCTTGTGTAGATCATAACCAAGCTCCAGAGTCAAGCAAGAAAAAGGGAAAAGATAAAGTTGTTGAATAGTTGGGCATATCAGGTGAATGAATTTATTGTATTTATATGAAAAGAGAAAGACTCGCATTGAGTCAAACTCTATTTTATTTGATTTAATGTATGTTTTACAGCATTTGATATATTTTCATATTGTGTATGGAAATGATATTATGAATAAATTTTAGAGTATGAAATGCTCTAAAAAGAAAATTAAATGCATAACGGTGCATTTCGACATAAAATGTGCCACAAATGAAAGTTAAATGCATAACGGTGCATTTCGACATAAAAGGTGCCACAAATGAAAGTTAAATGCATAACGATGCATTTCGACATAAAAAGGTGCCACTAATGAAAGTTAAATGCATAACGGTGCATTTCAGCATAAAAAGTGCCACAAATGAAAGTTAAATGCATAACGGTGCATTTTAGAATAAAAAGTGCCACTAATGAAAGTTAAATGCATAACGGTGCATTTCGGCATAAAAGGTGCCACTAATGAAAGTTAAATGCATAACAGTGCATTTCGGCCTAAAAGGTGCCACTTATGTTATTCATAAAAGGGGAATGACCATTTCGACATTTCGGTGCAATGCATGTACATTGCTTTCTTATTTAACATTCATTAGGCAAAATAAAGTATAATCTAGAAAAATATACAGAAAAATAGGTATGATGGACATACTAAGAATAGTTTCGACGACTATATGAAAGAAAATTGGTTTAATTGAGATGGTTAAATGAATATTATGAAGTATACAATTTAGTTTGTATTTCAATAGCCATGATATTCTTATGTATGAATTACAGTTAATTTACATTATTATGCCTCACTAAGTAAATACTTAGCGTGTGTTAATTTCATGCATAGGTAAGAGCAAATACTAGTCGAGTAAGGAGAGGAGGAACTATCATCAATACAAGGTTGACTCATCGGTAAGAGTAGGACAATCATGTCTATTTTGAAAATTAGTTGGCATATATTTTGAATTTAAGAAAATTCTCTGGAATTGTATTAAAGTGATAATCTGTGTAATCTGTTACAAAAAATGTTTTATTATAATATTTAAAATGTTTTGTTTTTATTTTTGAAACAAAATTTTTATGGGTTTTAAGAATAAGTAAATGTTTTTAAAAGTCATGTGACATCTGCTACTTGTGTACAGAAATGTATACGGGAAATGAGTTTTATATTTATTGGTAT